GCTATTCACTTCCTCTATCCACCTGACTGAAAACTCAGGAGGAAGGCTTTGATCACACCTCATTTTTTTTCAGTAGAATCACAGCATCATTTAGGTTGGAAAATATGTCCAAGATCATCAAGTCACACCTATGATCAATCATCACTTGTCAACCAGACTGTGGCCCTGAGTACCACGTCCAGTCATTAAAGTAGAAACAGTACTGCCCTCTGGTTCAAAATGCCCTTTATCCACTATTGCAGTCATAAGAGCTGTTTCCATTTCCCTGCATTTGCTCAGCTACTTCACAGCTTGCCCTGCTTTGAGCATGAGGTTGGACTGCTGCCTTTAACATCTGATAGAAAGAAAACTGAGGGCGAAATCAGGAGAACATCCACTGAGAGAAGCCAGATCTGGGCTTCAAAACGATTTCCCTTAAGAAGTGCTACAAATCCTGGGTTTTCTTCTACTATGATATGCAAAACTTACCAAAAGTACTTCATGTAGGAGTCTCTGACCTCCCAACTGTAAGAAGACTGGAGGACGAAACAAATTTTTTGCAAGTTGAAGAAATTGAGGTTTGTATTATGCAGAAGACCACAGGGGAGTTGGATCACTGGGCAGCAGAGCTCACTGAACAGCTCTCATCCAGAAAGCGCACAGCTCAGGGCAACATGTAGGCAGTGCCTCCACTAACTTGAAAGACAGAGAAGATACAGTAAAAAGGCATTGGAGCACAAATTTTTATAAAAAACAGTGAAATGCAAAATGATGAGTGTGTAGACCTCAGGAGTTGGATGAGAAGTTCATTACTTCTTATGCTTATACATGGTTATAACTACCAACACGTTGGTACAGTATTCCTGGACTTTTGGAAGTGGAGGAAAATGAGTCCAGTTTAGTTGTCAATGAATGAGCAGTGGGAATAGACTGCTCCTCTGTGTCCCACCTGCATGGGCCATGCCCAGCTCTCTCCCAGCTGAGTGTCTCTCTGCATTTGCCTTGCAGGGGAGCAGGAGACCTTCACTGAAATCCTCCCACGATGCTGGGGCTGCTGCTGCTGCAGGTGTTGGTGAGCTGCCTCTGGCTGGGACACAGCGAGGTGGGGACATCCTTTAAAACTTAATTTCCTCAGTTTTTCTACAGGAATACTACCTGAGATAATATCTTGGAGCCACAGAAGCCAGCCTGGATCTGCCAGCGCTACAAAAGCCAATATCACTTTGACACCCTGTATGATAGAGATTTGCACATTCCAGTGTACTCTGCTTATATCTACCAGCCTGGATCTGGCAACAGAACTAATTTTTGGTTTGTGGTGCCTCAGGTGATTGTCTTTCTTACAGCACATAATCCTCCACTCACTCAGAGATGAGCTACAGCATTTAAATTACCACTTCTATTTCCTACCACCCCACTACACACATGCAAATGGACACACTCCGGATGGGAATTTTCTCCTTTAACTTCAAGCACCTGCACCACGTGGTTCCTCTGATGCATCTATGACATCAGCAGGAGGATGAGATGAATCATATTCCAGAGTTGCCCAGTTTTCTGCCTTGACCTGACAGCAACAGCAAATCAAATTAATTTGCATTACATTACAAAGTCAAATGATTCCCCTTCCTGTGACCTGCCGTGGTAGGGGACCAAGTGATGGGGAAAAGGCACCCAAGGGAGGCTAAACTTGAGGGACCAACTGTCATGCTGGGATCTGCTCCTCACTTTGCCCTGAGTTGTTCTGCACCCCTAACAGAGCTCATCTGCTCCCAGTGAAGAGTCAAACAGGCTTGGTGAGGGATGTGAGAGAAGTGAGGAGAAACTCAGAAGGGGGTGAGATGGCCCAGGGACAAAGCCTTAGAGGAAAAGGCACTGGAGATGAGAGGGTCAGCTTAATTGTGGAGGGATTTCTGGAGTGATGTTTCAGGCAGTGAAAAGTGAGGAGCATCAGTGTGTCTCCAGTCAGAAGGGTGTGATCTCCATGCATGGGCAGTGACCCCTGAGCACCTTTGGCTCAGGCTTGATCCAGAAGGATCCAGCAGACAGACAAAACTCCAAAGCTATGGAGCCCTCACAAATTTCATTCAGACCTGCAGGAACACAGGCCAGGCCAATTGTAGAATAGAAAGGCAATAAATTCAGGACCTTTTCATGGGCAGAGTAGGGGGAGAATTTTGTGTGAAAATGTGCAAGATCATAATGTCCAGTTCCAGAGGAAGGCTAAATATGCTTCACAAGGATATGGATACAGAGAAGTCCATCAAAAAACGATACAGGATCACTTCACAGAAAATTGGCCAGAATTAGGCTATCACCCAAGACTACAACAACCTCCAGGGTCTGGACCGTGATCACTTGACTCCCTGTGGCCACCAAAGTGGCAACGAGAGCAAGTGGGCTACCTTCACCCTCACCAACATAGTGCCCCAGGACAAAGCACTCAATGGCGGTGCCTGGAAAGAGTTCGAGGACCAAACGATGGCCCAAAACACCCAGGGCTGTGATACCACCTATGTCATCACAGGTGCTGTGCCTGGGAGCACCTACATCTCCAGTAGGAGGGTTAATGTACCCAGCTACATTTGGGTCAGCTGCCTGCTACCAGACCAAGACCAACAGGAAAGCTTGGGCAGTCATTGTGGAGCACAACCAGAGCCAGGTCCAGCCAGAACCTCACACTGCCACAGCTGGAGGCCAGCTTGTCCCAGCTTTAAGGGAGGGGACAGGTTTCTCTGTTCCACAGTGCCTGTCTCCACTAACAAACCTCATATCCTGGGTGGAAAAGGCTTATGAGCTTTTCCCGTGTGTCATAGAATCACAGAATAGATTGTGTTTTATGGGACTGTAAAGATCATCTTGTTCCATTCCCTTCCCTGTGCAGTGACACCCTTCAGTACACCATGTTGCTCCAAGTACCATCCAACCTGGCCTTGACATGAGACAGCTATAGCTTCTCTGCTTACCCATGACAGGGCCTCACCACCCCCTCCGTACAGAATTTCTCCCTAACATCTCATCTAACCCTATTTTTTGTCAGTGTGAAACATTCCTTCTTGTCCTGTCACTCCTTGTCCAATGTCCCTCTCCAGATCTCTTGCTGAACTTCTAGGTAGTGGAAGGAGATCCAACTTCTTCCGACAGCCTTCTCTTGTCAAGGCTGAACACCCTCAGCTGTCTCAGCCTGTCTCCAGAGCAGAGGTGTTCCAGGCCTTGGAACATCTTTGTGGCCTCCACTGGACTCCACCCCAATATGTTTTTGTCCTTCTCATGTTGTGGGCCCCAGAGCTGGACACAGCACTCCAGGTGCAAGGACAAGATTCTGGAAAGACTGCTCTAGCTGATCCTCCTTGACCAGGGGTATGGACTAGAAGATCTTGAGAGGTCCTTCCAAAACCCAGCAATTCCATGATTATGTTATGTAATCCTGGGATATGCTTTTGTTTGCTTGCTTTTGAAACTGCACCTTGAGAGCAGCATCTGTTGTATCAGACAGGCAGGATGAGGCACTGGATATAAAGGAAGCTTTGAGCAACCAGAGATAAATTTCTGTGATGCACTCCTTGGATACCTTCATTCTCTGCTCTGCTTCTGAAGCTTTTCTGCAAAATTTCAGGGAACTGATTTGGGGAAATGTGTTCAATATATTCAATATAGTCAATGTATTCAATGTCATAATTAAAAGATCAGCATGGGACAGATTATTTAGTTCCTGACTAATTCACAATAAAAATTATTTGCTGTAGTGCTGGTTTGCAGGGTCACCTCATATAAACCACAAGTTGCTTCTTCCTGAAATTTCTACTACCAATAATGTCACAGTTCCCAGAACATTAGTGCTATTTCAGGCTGAGGGACATCAGCAGACTCCTCTGCTGTACCTGAGGGAGCTCCCTCTGACATGCTTGCCCACCTCTACATAAGCCTTTGCTGGGGCTTGAGATCACTCTCATCCCCACCATTGCTCATCCCGTGCCCACTACCTCTGTTTTCCAGGCTCTGGAACCACTGGCTGCTTGATCATCTCCACCAGCCCCTCCTCTATCAACTTCCCAGGCTCTTCCCAGGACCTTTACCCAAAAATGCCCAGCCCTCCACAGCAAGCTTGTGAAATACTTGGGAAGCCAGAAAGAGAAAGGAATCAGTTCCATAGAATCACTGAACGACAGAATCCAAGGTTGGAGTAGACCTCCAAGGTCATCCTGTTGCACCATCCTCCCAGCACTACCACTGTAAAACTTAAACCACTAAATCCATATCACCCAGTGCCAAATCCAGATGCCTCTGAAACCCTTCCAGGGATGGTGACTCCAGCACCTCTCTGGGCAACCTTTTCCATGGCCTGACCACATGAGAGCTGAAAGTGTTTTTTCTAATATCTAATCTGAATTTCCCCATCTCATCTTAAAGGCTTTTCCTCTAGTCCTCTCACTACTGGCATGGTAGAAGAGACCAACCTCAACCTCATGACAACTTCCTTTCAGGTAATTGTAGAGTGCCCTAAGCCTGCACTTTTCAAGACTAAAATCTAATGCTAACATCTACTCTAGCCCTGCCTTCTGTGAGTTTGAAGGTGCTCCCTGTTGTCCTGTCACTCCAAACCCTTCTCAAAAATTCCTCTCCATATGAAGCACTCGCAGGTGCTGAAAGGGACTCTAAGATCTCCCAGAGCCTTCTCAGCAGCAGGCTTTGCATGAATAAGGGCTCTTACAAAGCCTTTGCAGTCAGACAAGGGGAAATGCAGCCTGACCAACCTAATTGTGTTCTGAGAGGCTGCAGAAGAGCAGACTGTGAACATCTGGGTGTACTCAGGGACAGGTCAGTCAGTCTAATGCCACACGAGATGTTCTGCCAGGAACAGAAACACATGTAGGTCCCCATTTGTGGGGAATGAGGAAATGAACAGATAAGTCACCAGACCCAATTATTTTCTCCTGACATGTGATGCTGCAAGAACCTGGGAGAAATCCTGAGGAAATTGCAAATAGCAACTGTCACCCCAGTTCAGGGTGGGCGTGAACAAATCTCCTTGAAAAATAAAAGAAAACCTTTCTTTTCAATGAAATTCCCTGTTTATCACAACAGGCAGATTTATGACCAGGTATATATTGCTCTAGGACTCCTGAGGGATCAGCCAAGTGTTCCTCCAGGGAGAAGAAGAAAGGAACTCTTGGGCTGCCTGTTCTGAGACACTGCTTCAAGGTAAGCTCTTGCTCCTTTCTCACTATTTACTTCAATATTTCAAGTCGTTCCTGAGCTTTGGAATAAATATATGTAGAGAAAGCCTAGGCTGGAGTTGCTGAGCTCTAATATCTACTCTCCAAGGAGCAAGGAGAGTTTATGCATGCACTGAATTTTGCAGCTCTTTAACACTTTCTGTAAAGGAGAGCAAGGACAGAAGGAATAATTTGGGAAAGAATTTCAAGCCAAGCCACCTGGAAGATTAACATCAAACTGTTGAATAAGAAGGAGGGGTGAGTTTATTAAGCACCAAAACTCCGCCCATGACCTTGCAAGAGGTCTTTGGACAAACACAGGTGACTGTACTGGAAAATTCACTCTAGGTCCTGTTTGGGAAATCCAACAACTCTGTCTACTTGGAAATCATATAAAAGCAGCCAATCTGAGACTGCAGCAGAGGCATTTGGGAGTCCTGTGCCACTTTGGGGCTGCGAGCAGAGTCCTGTGCTGTTCTTTTCCAAGGTAGGCTGGTTTCTATATATCTGATATTATGTTAGATATTAAGTTAGTTAAATATATTTTAAGCTCGTGAAGGGGGTCATGCAAAAGGAATTTTCAGGAACTTCTCAGCTTGATTCGGGGCAGTTATGGGCATACTCTTCAGAGTACTGTAAAAAGTCCCTACTTGTTCCTGTTCTCAGTTTCCAGCTTACTGGTCAGTGTTCCTGATCTGGAGTTGCTAAAGCGAAAGCAGACGTCTTGTATGAGAGCCAAGAGTATATGTAGCTTAAAATCCCAATGTCAGCAGAGAGGCAGAACACCAAGTGCATCATTTGTGTTCAGGATTGGGTGTGACAGGAGGAGCTGTGTCTGTGTGAACCTGGATGGGGCCAGAGACATGTAGGAAGTGCAGCAGTGCTGTTCTTTCCCTGCCCAATGCCCCATGAGATTCAAGCCCAGCTCAGCATTGCAGGGGGCTGAGCAGAGTCCATGCCCAGCTGCAGGTGTCTGCTGTGGGGAGGTGCTCAGAGCAGGAGGGAGTGAGAATGGCCTGAAACTGGGCCAGGGAAGATTTAAGCTGGATATCAAGAAGAGGTTTTTCACCCAGAGGTTGGTTGAACACTGAAACAGGCTCCCCAGGGAAGTGGTCACATCACCACACCTACCTGAGTACAAGATGTGTTTGTACAATACTGTGAGGCACATGGTAGGATTTCTGGGGCTGTCCTGGTCAGAGTCCAGAAGTTGGACTCCATGATCCTGATGAGACCATTCCAACTCAGCATCTTCTATGATTCTATGATATCATGTTTGGAAGTAGGGGCTTCCAGGCCCTGTTTTGTTGCAGGACTTTTTCTCCAGTGCCAGTGCAAAAGCTGAGCTCTTGACCAACTGAGCTGGGTTGGAAAAGGTGACCTTATTCCAGTGCCATATCTCAGTTCCGTGATAACTTTGCTGTGAGAACTGTTTAGGCATTGGGTGAGTTTGGAACACCCTTCAGACTGACTATGCTCCCACCATTGCCTCCCCTGGGCACCTAAAACCTATTTTAGATTTCATCTTCTCATGTGGAGATTTGCTCAAACATTTAGTGTATGTCAGTGCCACATGAAAGCCAAAATCCTTTTCAGTCTGTTGGTGTCCTGCTGTGGGGACCCTTCATTGAGTAGTTCTCTGGGTTGGAGGGTTTGACTGACATATTCAGGGTCACACAACCAGAGAAACCCCTCCTGAGTCTCCACACCTTTAGCCACTGCCAGAAACTGCCAGTGCCTCTGAAGGACTCACTTTAACTGTTTACAGAATAACACTGTTAATAAAACTGTGACAGGTTAAAGTTTGAGGCTTGCCAGTAAAAGTACCTGACTGCAAAAAGATATTCAAAGCAAGATACTAATTCAGAACAACATACTAATAAGCTTTAATTCCCCACAAAAGCTAGCTTGAGGAAGTCATTCAGCATGCATAAAGTATAGGCATCCCTAAGGGAGAGAAGGCAGGTTCAGCCCACCAACTGATCCCAGAAGTTACAATGGAGACTTCCACCACTTCTCTCCATTTTCAATTTCCTTTAATACTATTTCTTTACATTTAGGTGGCATTTGCATGTAGTCATACATTCTCAATGAGGGGTTCTCATGCCTTGAGGGTGGAGATCTCAGTAAAGCACCTGAAGTAACCTTGGGATGGGGATGTGCGTCAGTCCAAGGACAGGGATTTTGCTATGACTGCTGATTCAGCAGCAGGATATCTTCATTTATCTCCCATTTTTTCAGTTTCAGTTGCCATGCAGATTATCAGCTAGAAAATACCACCAAGGTGTCTCCTCTGCAAGGGTTTTGACAGAGGTTGGCCATGGTGCCTCCACTTCACCTGCTGTTTAGGCCCACCTTAGATTTAGTCCTCCATATGTGTGGGAGGCCAAATACACTGTCTGTCTTCCATCCAGGGACGAGCAAATGTATTTTCCCCTGTAACTTCTCTACTGTTATCCTTTTATCCCCAGTCATCTCCCTGCACAACCCTATAGTGATGATGATTTTTCCATATCCAGGAGGACAGAAGTTACCCCCTCCTTGGTCTCTCATAGTCTCCTCCTCTGCATTTCCCTTCCAGGAGAGCAAGAGCCCTTCACTGAAATCCTCCCACGATGCTGGGGCTGCTGCTGCTGCAGGTGTTGGTGAGCTGCCTCTGGCTGGGACACAGCGAGGTGGTGACATCCTTTGAAACTTCATGTCCTCAGTTTTTTTTCCGGGAGATCCCCCCAAATGAAGCTCTGGAGCCGCAGAAACCAGCCTGGATCTGCCAGCGCTACAAGAACCAGTATTACTTTGCCACCCTGTATGACAGGAAGATGCGTATTCCTGTCTACTCTGCTTACATCTACCAGCCTGGACCTGGCAAAAGACCTAAAACATGGCTGGTCGAGCCCCAGGTGAGTGTCTCTCTTACAGCACATCACCTGCCAGTCATTAAAAGCAGTATTAAAATAACCATTTCTATTTGGTCCCACACCTCTACACACATGCAAATGGACACACTGGGTGGGATTCTCCTGGATTAACTTCAAACACCTTCATCACATTATTTCCCTGATGCATCTGAGACATTAGCAGGAGAATGAGATGAGTCATATCCCAAAGGTGCCCAGTTTTCTGCCTTGACCTCACAGAAACAGCTAATCAGATTACTTTGTGTTAAATTACAAAGTCAAATGATTTCCCTCCCTGCACCCTGTTGCGGTGGGAGAACAACTGATGGGGAAAAGACGTCCAACAGCAGCTAAATTTGAGGAAACAATGATCCTGCTGGGATCTGATCCCCACTTTGCCCTGAGCTGTTTGGCATCCCTGACAGAGCTTATCTTCTCCCAGTGCAGAGTCAAACAGGCTTGGTGAGGGGTGTGAGAGAAGTGAGGAGAGACTCAGAAGGGGGTGAGATGGCCCAGGGACAAAGCCTAGGCAGACACAAGCCTTGGCTGATGAGAGGGTCAGGTTAACAGTAGGAGGATTTCTGGAGTGACATTTCAGGCAGTGAAAGGTGAGGAGCATCAGTGTGACTCCAGTCAGAAGGGAGTGATCTCCATCCATGGGCAGTGACCCCTGATCACCTTTGGCTCAGGCTTGGTCCAGAGGGATCCAGTAGACAGACAGAACTTCACAAGCTACAGAGCTCTACCAGACATCTTTCAGAAAAATTTCAGGACTTTAGGAAAACAGGCCAAGGAAATAACAGACACAAAAAGAGGCAATTCCTGTCATTGCTAAGGACAGAGTGGCAGGATTGATTTAGGTGAAAATGAACCACAGACGAAACCCATATGCAGTGTTCCAAAGGAAAGCTAAATATAATGCACTAAATGTGAAATTAATTTCTGAAATACAAAAATATTTGCACTTGCTCCTCATAGGAACTCAATAAATTAATCTGGTATTGTACCACATCAGGACCAGACAAAAAACAGGATCTTGACACTCAGAGACTTCTGCTCGAGGAAAATCTGTTCTATTATCCCCATCTCCAGTACTAACACCTTTTCCTCTTCTTTTCCTGTCAAGCTGCTTGGCCCAATTTATCCCAAAACTATGGAAAAAGAGTGGACACTTTTAAATCATTACAATGTCAGCTTAGAGAAACTCAGCCAGAGCCAGGCTATCCTTCATGACTACAAGAACCTGACGGGTTTGAACCGGGGCCATTTGAACCCTAATGGCCACCATGATGACTACAGCAGCAGAATTGCTACCTTCACCCTCACCAACATAGTGCCCCAGGATGAGAAGCTCAACGGCGGCGCCTGGAACAACTACGAGCAGCAAACGATGATGAGGAGGACGCAGGGCTGTAGAACCACCTATGTCATCGTGGGTGCTGTGCCTGGGAACAACTACATTGCTAAGGGAAGGGTTAATAAACCCAGCCACCTCTGGTCAGCTGCCTGCTGCATGGTGGACAACAACTATGTAAAGGCTTGGGCAGTCATTGCTGAGAATGACAGGAACGAGGTCCAGCTCCTCACCCTGGGGGAGCTGGAGGACACATTAACTGAGCTCTATGGGAGGGGACAGGTTTCCCTGTTTGACAGTGACTGTCCCCGGGAATAAACCTCATATCCTGGGTGGAACAGGCTCAGGAGCTTTTGCCATATGTCATAGCATAACAGAATGGGTTGGAAGGAATTTCAAAGACCATCCATGTAGTCTCAGCTCACGTGCCATGGGCAGGGACATTTTCCACTATCCTCAGTGGCTCCAAGCCCTGTCCAACCTGGCTTTGAACACTTCCAGGGATGAAGCAATCACAACTTCTCCAGACAACCTGTGCCAGGGCCTCACTACCCTCACAGTAAAGAATTTCTTCTTAACATCTAATCTAACCCCACCTGCTTTCAGTTTAAAGCCATTGCCTCTTGTGCTGTTGCTCTATTCACTTGTCCAAAGTCCCTCTCTCTTTTAAAACCCTTGAGACACTGGAAGTTCTCCCAAGAGCCTTCTTTTCGCCAGGTTCTCTCACCCTCAGCTCTCTCATCCTCTCTCCACAGCAGATGTGCTCCAGCTCTTCGAGCATCTTTGTGGCCTCCTCTGGACTCCACTCCAACAGCTTCTTGTGCTGTGGACCCCACAGCTGGAGGCAGCACTGCAGCTGGGCTCTCACAGAGCAAAGCAGAGGGGAACAAATGCACTGTAAAGGGGAACAAGACAACCCAAGACTCCCAAAGGCCTCTGATTCATTTCCAGGAAAGTCTGAGAGAGCAGACTTCACATGATATCTAATTTCCATTAGGAAGTGAGAAACCTGTTTTCAGGTCAGGGAAATTGATCCATAAAAGGGTACCCACTGCCACGTACTTACAGAGTAGTTTAGGGACTAACATAAAAATTTTCATGCCAAGTGTATAATTTACTAATAAAACCATGTGAAATTTTATATATCTTGTGATTTTTGTTGTTCCCTTTGACCATGAACATTTAGGGATCTTGGGGGGTCCCTTTCCCTTGAGGGTTTTGTGGGCAGAATAGGAGAGTCAGGAAAAGGTTAATAGAGAAACCTTCCTGTTGAGTCATGAGCTGCAGAAAGGACCCCCCCTTGCTTGGTAAACTCCTTCTCAGGGAGCTGTCAGGGTTCAGCTGAATGCAGTCTTACCCCAGATTTTGTCAATTGTTTACATCTAAAGGATTAAATAGATCTAATTGAAACTTTATACAGCTTGTCTCACAGGTTTGAGGATTGCAAACCATACATATTTACATAATTATATACGAATTATGAAGGCAAAATTATGTTAATCAGAATTATTTAGTTCACAGTATGGAAGCTATAACTACTAATATAGTATTGTGCACTATGAAGCAGTATTGAAGCAGATATATTAAAGCAGTTATATAAAACCAGCAAAAACAATTAAACAGAGATTGATGTTACTCACCCATACCAATGAACATGAGCAAATTTCTTTGGCTCAGCCTCAAGAAGTAACCTTGAAAGGCATCTCTACTCCAAGGAGGAATCTATACACACACTCTCTCCAAGAAGGTGTGTCTGTGCATGCAAGAGCTAAAGAGAGAAAAACTCAGTCTGTACATCACATCAGCAGTGATGTTCAGACACCTCCTGGGAAGGAGGCCTTCAGCACACGTAACGATTCCTCTGGAAGGCCAACAATGAAAACTCACACATGCCCCCAGTTCCTCCTCTCTGCCTTAGCTTTTATATCTGAGCTGAAGTCATATGATATGGAGTATCCCATTGGCAAATTCGGGTCAGCAGGTCTGGTTGTGTCCCTTCCCAGGATCTTGCCCACTCCCATCCCCTTTGCTGGGGGAAGGAATGTCAGAGGGACATTGCTGCTCAGCAGTAGCCAAAACACTGATCTGTTATCAACAAACATCCAGCTACCAATGCAAAGCACAGCACTTTAAGGGCTGTGACCTCTACCTCAATCAGACCCAATACAGGCATTCACAATAAAGTTATTTGCTGCAGTGCTGGATTGCAGGGCCATGTTTATATAAACCACAAGTTGCTTCTCACTGAAATTTCTATAACCATCAGTAATGTCACAGTGCCCAGAGCATCCTTGCAGGACATTGGGGATCCAAGTGCAATCTGAGGACGCCATAACACCCACACAAGTGTCAGCATCAGACACCAGTTATTCTCCTGTGAATGGGCATGGACAAAGTGGGCCAGGGTGCCAACAGCTCATACAAGGTACCCCCACGGCTCCAGCAATGAGACTTGCAACTTTGATGTCCTCAGTCTTGATCTTTTAGGGGTGGGGACCTGTGCAACAAAGAGTTCAAAAGGTTCTGTGTCTTCAGGGTCTTCTGGGATTGCCCCACTTTTACCCTGGGAGGGGTTTACCCTGTGTCATGCAGCACTGTGGAGTTGGGGGATACTCTGGGGGTTTCTGAAGCTTTATGGCCCCTTCTAATGATGTGACAAGGGTTGGGCCCTGCTTTGTTATGTCACTTGGGCCTCACCAGAAAGGAGAAATTTGCCCCAGCTCTGCCAGATCTGCTTTTTCTTGGCCTTCTCCCTCATTCTCGCTAAACCAGACTTTGCTTAAAGCATTAGTCCCAGGTTAACAGAGACAAAAGGAAACACATGACTCAGCCAGTTTTTTGTAGAAAAACTTCAGTCTAACACAGTTTTCTGGATACTTCTGGTTGTAACAACTAACTCCTCTTTCTATTATTCCTGGACTTTTGGAAATGGAAGGAAATTAATCCAGTTTAGTTTGAGTGAATGAATGATCATTGAACCACAGAAGATATTTTTGTTGGAAAGGACCTTAATGACCAGCTAGTTCCATGTCCTCTCATGGACAGGAACACTTTCCACTATGCCAGGTTGCTCCAAACCCCAGCCAGCGGGGCCATGGACACTTCCAGGGATGGGGCAGTCTCAGCTTGTGGGCAACCTGTGCTGGGGCTTCAACGCCCCCACTGTACCAAATAGCTTCCTAATACCTTATCTATACCTACATTCAGTCCATTTCAAGCTGTTTCACCTTGTCCTAATATCCTGGTTTAACCCCAGCCAGCAGCCACGCTACCACAGCCACTCCTTCACTCCCCAGACACCGGGATCAGGGAGAGAACTGGACGGATAAAATCTGGAATACTCGTGGGTGGAGATAAAAACAGCTTAACAGGGAATGCAAAAACTGTGCACACAAACAAAGCACATTCAAGGAATTCTTTGCCCATTTCCCATGGATAGAAAGGTGCTCAGCACCGCTAGGAGATCAGGGCCCCATCCCACCTAAAAGTTACCTGGGAAGACAAAACCCACCACTCCAAATGTCCCCTCCTTCTTCCTTCTCCCCCTCACTTTATATACTCAGCATGATGTCACATGGTCTGGAATAGCCCTCTGGTCAGTTAGGGTCACCTGTCCTGACTGTGTCTCCTCCCAACCTCCCAAGTACCCCCAGCCTCCTGGCCAGCCTGGCAGGAGCACAAAAAGCAGAAATGGCCTTGGCTCTGTGAAAGCTCTGCTCAGCAATGACGAAAAATATCTCTGTCTTATCAACTCTGTCTGCAGAACTCCAAAAACACAGCCTTACACCTGCCAGTGTCAAGAAAATTAACTCTGAATCCAGCAGATCTAACAAGTCCATACCCTTGTCCAAAGTCTCGCTGCAGCTCTCCTGGAGGCTCCTAAAGTCCTGGCAGGTGCTCTGAGGTATCCCCAGAGCCTTCTCCTCCCCAGACGGCTGGGATGAAGCTGTTACAAAGCCATGGCCATCAGGTAAGAGAGTATTTGTTGCCTGGCCATGGGAATGATGTTATGTGAGGCTGCAGAAGAGCAGACTGTGACTATCTGAGTGTACTCAGAGACAGGCCAGTCCATCTCATGTCACCAGAGATGTTGTGTTGGGAACAGAAACACATGTAGGTGCTGGAGCAGCAGCAGCTGCAGCTGGTGGCATTGATGAAATGATCAAGGAAGTCACCAGGCCTTGTTTATTGATCCTTAGATATATCATGCTGCAAGTCAGCAAATTTGGCAGAAATTCTGAGGGAACAATTACAAACACCTGTCAGCACATTTCAGGTAGGGTTGAACAAAGTTCCCTAGCTCAAAATAGAAAACCTCTCTTTTCTGTGGAATTCCCTGCTTATAAAATTGCAAATTCAAGACTGGGCATATATTTAAGTAATCCTGATACACCATGCTGCAAGTCAGCAAATCTGGGAGAAATTCTGAGAAAATTATTACAAACAACTGTCAACACATTTCAGGGTGGGTGTCAACAAATGCCCAGAATAAAAATAGAAAACTTCTCTTGTCAGTGAATTTCCCGTTTGTAAGAAGGGGCAAATTTATGACTGAGTATATATTGCAGTGGCACTCCTGAGGATTCAAACAGTCCTTTCTCCAGGGAGAAAACTGAAGGAACGGTTCAGCTGCCTGTTCTGAGACTCTGCTTCAAGGTAAGCTCCTGCTCCTTCCTCACCATTCACTCCACTATTAAAAGTTTTTCCTGAGCTTTGCAATAAATAGATATAGACGAAGCCTAGGCTGGATTTGCTGATCTCTAAGGAGCAATCAGAGCTCATACATGCATTGAATTTTGCAGCACTTTAGTATTCCCTGTCAATCAGGAGGGCAAGGACAAAAGGAATGACTTAGGAAAGAAATTCAAGCCAGCTCACGTGAAAAATAACATCAAAATCTTGAATAACAAGGAGAGGTTTATTGAGCACCAAAACTCGACCTATGATCTTTTAAGACACCTCTAGACAAACACAGGTGACTGAACACCTAGAAAATTCCCTCTGAATGCTGTTTTAGAAATCAAACAACTCTGCCTGCTTGGACATCATATAAAACAGCCAGTCTGAGATTGCAGCAGAGGTATTTGACAGTCCATAACCACTTCCGGGCGGCATGCAGAGTCCTGTGCCTCTCTTTCTCACAATAGGTTTTTTCTATATATCTATTAAGTTAGATAATAAGATAGTCAGATGAATTTTAATCTCACAGGATGAGTAACATAAAAGAACTTTCCAGATAATTCTTGGCGTGATGTGGGGCAGAGAGGGTCATGCTCTGCAGAGTAGTGTAAGTCACCAGCTGTGGGTCATGTTCTCAGTTTCCAGCTCATGGATCACCACATCATTGATCCAGGGCTTGAAAAGAGAAAAAAGACAAGATGTCTTGGTTCAGAGCAGGACTGTGTGTAGCTCAATATCCTAAATGCAGTGGAAATGGAGACATGAGTGTCAGGGAGAAGAATAAGAAAAGAGTAAATGTGCAAGGTGGCTTGTTAAGCCTTCAGCAGGCCTCAGCTCAGACCCTTCCCAGCCAAAGGTGGGCTTTGTGCTTTAGAGGCTGTGGCAGCTTTCTCTCCCAGGAACCCTTTGACCTGCCTGTCCTACCTGCCTTATTCTAAATGCAGATGATAATAAATCACTCCACTGAGTGTCTGTCCATGCAAATGGAAGCATCCCTGCTATCCCAAACCTGTGGTGCCTCTGAAAGGACACAAAGCCCCTTGCTTGGTTGCCAGCATCCCAGGGAGATTTTCAGCAGTTTTCTCATAAAGGAATGATCTTACTGACTGCTGAGAATCACGTGAACAGTGAGAAAAAAAAAAAGGGATAGATGTCTGTGTGAGAAATTCCTGCAATGGTGCCTTTGACTGTACAGGAAAATCCATCATCACAGCTGAAGATGGGCATCAGCAGGAATCCCAAGCACCCACAGGAAGAGCTGCCCCCCTCCCTTCAGTGCTTGCATTGCAGCAGCCATTGTGCTGATAAGACAGAGGTGTTATCCCTCGTGCTTGCTGCTACCATCTGCTTGGCCTCTTCATTTTCTCTCTCCACGTGTCTGCAAGTTCAGAGTCTGGGGTTGGATAATGTGGAAATGCAGGGTGAGCAGCAGGACACCCCTTGCCCAATGTCAGCTGAGAGGCAGGGCCCCAAGTGCATCATTTGGGTTCAGGATTGGGTGTGACAGGAGGAGCTGTGTCTGTGTGAACCTGGATGGGGCCAGAGACATGTAGGAAGTGCAGCAGTGCTGTT